CCCCCCGCCCCTTGCATGTCCCCCAGCTTCCCCCAGGCAGGGCTAATCTTTAACTTAATGTTTTGTCTTTTGCTGAAATCCCGCTCTTGGCACTCCTCCTCCTCTTCTTGCTCTAATAGGCTGCAAGGAGCCAGCAGTAGCAGCAGGGAGGAAAGTGCGTGAGGAGAAAGGTTTCTGTGTTGGAGAAAGATTTCTGTGCTCTCATGCAGGGCTGGGGAATGGCACGGTATGTCTAGGCAAGACATCTGCCTCGCCCCCAGCATCCAGAGCCTACACGTCTCTGGTCCTGCGAGGTGCCTCCTAGAAGGAAGCAGAGAGGGCTTGTCGTTATCTTTTTGCTTTTTAGTGTGACAGTGGAGGGAGGCCCCAGCCAGGTTGAGGGTTGGGTGCTGGGGTAAGGGTCAGCCAATGCAGCCACTCCTGTACCGAGGAGCTTGGGTCGAGAGGGAGAAACGTGGGGTGAGTGAGAGGGCTTACGGTGAGGGGCTGCTGTCAGGAAGAAGGAAATCAGATGCTCTGAGGAAAGTGCCTTTCCCTTCAGTCTCTAGGCACCCTTCCTGGGGCTCCTGCACATCAGCTGCCAGCACCCTGGATGAGAGCTAGCAAACTGGAGTGCTCTGGCCCTTCATGACTTCTGTCCTGCTCCTGTACAAGCCAACAGGTAGTGGCTGGAGGTTTTAGACACCCCCCACTATCAGCTTGCTCTAGCTGGGGGGGGCATTGCAGCTCCGTGTTGATACCTACGAGTCCCTGAATCACAGAATCATCTTGGTTGGAAAAGACCTTGAGGATCACCTGGTCCAACCATTAACCTAATGTTGACAGTTCTCGACTCCACCAGATCCTTCAGTGCTGTGTCAATCTGAGAGAGAGACCGTGAGTACAAAAGCTGGTCCAGGAGGGATCCAAAGCAGTTATCCTGCTTAAAGTGTGTCCAGCACTACCTGCCTGTTGCCTGCAGGGATTCGGGGATGAACCTGTCTCTGTGGCAACCTGCTGCTCCATGCGGCGTGCCCAGCTGCTCACAGGCACAACGTGCAGCCTGCCTTAGCCAGGTGTCTTCCCCCAGGCCTAGAAGCACCCACCCCTCGGGCTGGAGAGCGGATTCGGTGGCTCCCAGCACTGCAGGGCTTTGAGGTGCCCTTTACCAGAACATCCAGTAAAGGCGTTCAGGGTGGCTGTACCAGAACAAGCATTTCTCTCCCCAGTTTGGTGCAGAGAGACACGGCTGCGGGGACACCCTGGCACCCAGCCCTGCCCTGGCAGCTGCTCCTGGGCCACCCACGTGCCGATGTCGTGTCAAAGTGACCACAGTAAACACTTTCTGTTGCTGCAACATCGTGTAAGCACAGATCTAAAAACATTCCTTAATTCTATTTCTCTGCAGGGAGAATTGAGGCGTAGACCATCCTCCTGTGAGCCCTCGCAGCCCAGCTGAGGCAGAGGAAAACAAGGCAGCCAGCGCTGCTGCTGAAGCTCAAGGGTGAGATTGCGAAGCGATTAAAATCCTCCTCTCTCAGGGAGAAAGAAGCTGGCAGGAACAGAGCAGCCGTGCGCTGCACAAAACCAACCGCACCACGTGTCTGGGCTGGACTTTGTTTGGATGCTGGGTTTTGATGTTATTTTTTTGTTCTGCTTCTTCCCTAGGGCCTCTTCACCTGCCCTTGGAGGGAAGCAGCACCCACGAGTGCAGGGAAAGCAAAACAAGCTCCTGCCCGTCTGATGCCAAGGTGGGGGGTGAGTTTCCTGGGCTTGGGATGGCTCCTCTGGGCCTCCAGCTGGGGAAGAACTGCTTTGTGCAATGCTCTGCTTCAGTCCTACATCTCCCCAGACTCAAAACACTGGAGCTTGGCGCTTTTCTTAAGGCTGCCCAGAAGATCACAGTGGAGCTGCTGTGCACACGATTTAAGTGTTTTACTTTGGGGAGCTCAGCTGCCCCCTTAGCCCTGGGGATCTGTGCTGCAGGTTTCCCAGGTAGGGAATATGTGCGGAAGCTCATGAACAACCACTCAGGCAGAGTATTAGAAAATATCCCAGTTTATTAGAGCGTCTCCATTTCGTATAGAGTTTTACAAAAGGATGTATTTACAGGCAAGGAGGGGGCTAACTAACCTCAACTGGAGTGTGCTCTTCTAGGGCAAAGAACAGGCTACACAGGAAAAAAGAAATCAAATCGGCACATTCACAAGTCACATTGTTGCATTTTCTTTTTTCTTTACAAAAGTAAGAAGGGTTTAAGACTGGTGTCTGGCACAGCAAAGCTGTGGTGTCGCTGGCAGGGGACAAACTCCAGGCCCACATTCAGCACAGCCCTGCTCCTCGCAGCCAGGACGGGGAAGTCACCGAGTGCAGCTCCTGCCAGCGTCGGCTAAACCCCAGCCTAGCGTTAAGGCACGCTGTGGTAACCTTTCAGCCAGGAGTCTCTCCTCCAGCCCCACCGCCCTGGACTCACGGGACAGAGGATGGAAGGAGGAGACCGTGGTGCAGGATCACACACAGGGAGGGAGCCTGAAGGGGATCCCCTCAAATCAGGGTAAGAACTTCTTTCCTCCCTGCCCCACCACACTGAAGACCAGAGCTAGGGCTGCAGACAGCAGTTTGAAAACAAATGGAGACAGAAAATACATTCTGGAAGCTTGGTTTTGAACCTGTCCCCATCAAATTTGTGGGTTTTAGAGGCAAAGTGTTTTGTCTTTTTCTTTGATTTTTTTAAAGTTGATTTTTATATATGTCTTGAGTGACTGGTCCTTCAAGTTTGTCTATGGGAGTGTGAAAACAAATTTGAAGACAAATGGGAGAGAGAAAATACATTGTGAAAGCTTGGGTTTGAATCTGTCCCCATGAAGTTTGTGGGTTTTAGAGGCAAAGTGTTTGTCTTCTTTCTTTCAGCTTGATTTTTATGTATGTCATGAATGCCTGGTCCTTCAAGCTGTTTATGGGAGCTGCACTCACCCACTAAAGGGAAATTTCTTACACTCCAAACATTGATTTTTAAGTTGAGAGGTGGGAACACAAAGGGCTAAACCACCAGCTCTGGCTGTTCAGTACGCACGGGGCGTCCCAGCGCGAGGTAGAGGGAGGGCTGAAGTTCACAGTAGTGGCTGCGTGCTGCCAGTGGGGGGGAGAAATGCCAGTGCCCAGAGCCCCCCTGGCTCCGTGAGCTGTCCGTGTCCCCGCAGGGACGAGCGTGGCCCTAGAGCCCCGTCTGCTGTTTGATCCAGTGTCGCAGGCTGGTGAGGCGGCTGTACACTCCAGGCTTGTTTCTCTGGGCGCAGCCGTCACCCCAGCTCACCACGCCGGCCAGGAACATCCGACTGCTGGGCTCCACGCTGACCAGGGGGCCCCCGGAGTCTCCCTGCCCACAAACACACACTAGCATTAGGACATCGCCCTAACGCACAGTGATAAACAGAGCAAACAAATGTTAATTACTAACTCCGCTGAACGGGGTTGGAGACTAGGTCAGCTGTCAGTACAAGCCCCTGAATCAAGAAAAAATGGGAAGAAATATTTAAGCATGGCCATAAGAGTCAAAGCCCCAGAATAAGGAGCTAAACAAGTGGCCTGGAGTGTGGTTGCACTGTTCTCTGACCTTTAAGTTTTAGTAACTTTTGTTACTAAAAAGTCAGACATTGCCACAATTTGATGCTCATACCCATTCCAATTTGTCCAGACTCTGAAAACACTGGAGCTTGGCGCTTTTCTTAAGGCTGCCCAAAAGATCATGGTGGAGCTGCTGTGCGCAGGATTAAAGTGGTTTACTTTGGGGAGCTCAGCTGCCCCCTTAGCCCTGGGGATCTGTGCTGCAGGTTTCCCAAGTCAGGAACATGTACAGAAGCTCATGAAGAACCACCCAGGCAGAGTATTAAAAATATCCTGTTTTATTAGAGTGTCTCCACTTCCCATCTGCAGTATATTCGCTCATGGAAAGGCGAGTGGAAGTGCCAGAATAAAAAGGGCTGAGCAGAGAGCCTGTCTTCCTACCTAAAGCTCCTCCTCCCAGCACTAAACCCGAGCACTGGCCTACCTGGCAGGCATCCACGCCGCCCGTCAGGATCCCCACACACATCATGCGTGGCGTGAGCTGGTCCGTCAGCAGCTCGTTGCAGATGCTCTGGTTGATGAGTCGGATTTCTGCCTTCTGCAAGATGGAGGCACCGCTGCCTGCGAGGAGGGAGGGAGGGAGGGGGGTCAGCTTTTTTGAGCAGCATTGCGCTTCACTTGGGCTCTGAACAACCCACTAGTACATACATCCCTGTTGCTTTTTCCTAATAATGTTTTTCCAGCAGGACTAAGACACCAACTTTGTGCGTTCCCAAAGAAATCTCACTTGATTCCAGGCTCGAGGCAAGCCTGTACATTAAAATTGTGTCCAGAAAGCCCCCGTTTTCCCTAAAGCCACACACAGCCCCAAATTCACAAGGAAATGGCAGTGCTCACCTCCTTCTGCAGTCGCTCCCCACCCCGTCACCCACAGGTCCTTGCCCACAGGGAAGTTATGGGTGGCGTCGGGCAGGCAGATGGGCTGGACGACAGAGGAGAAGGTGACCGGGCTCTGCAGCTCCATCACGGCAATGTCGTAGTCATAGGTGTAGTCGTTGAAGTAGGGGTGGGAGATGATGCGCTTGACTTTCCGGGACTGCACGTTGTCGCCGTTGCGGTTGCCCTGGTTGGTCAGGCCCAGGTAGGCTGTCCAGAGGCTGGGGTCTGAGTACCTGCACAGGGCACAGAACGCAGGGCAGGGTGAGCCCACGTCTCACAGACTACGTAGCTCACGGTCTTAAACAGTTCCCTTGAGAAATGACTGAAAAAATTGGGGGTTTCCTATTCAAATGCTGGAAAATTTAGGCTGCACCTCAATGAGTGGGTTCAGTTTCGGGCAAAACCTCACCCCAAAAAGGCCA